AAGATGGTGTCAGAGTAATCTATGTTCAAATCCCACCAGGTATTTAAATCAGTTAAATTTACTGTAAACAGATTCAGGGACTGAAATGGGTAAAATTTTGATCAGTTATAAATTTACTTTTGATGAGTTTCGAAGCTTACTATTGATGCAAAACCAAACACGTGGAGAAATTATATATATAGATGTCTGTTGTGCCCCTTTAGTAATCGCTAGTTGTTTTATAGATCATTCTACTATACTTAAATTATGTCGTTGTAAATGACAACTGCCCATATTTATATGAGTCAAATAAAATATACACGCTTGGTACCCACGGCTCTGCGATGCACTGTAAGCACAGTCACATGTTGGCAGGAAACCATACACCCATGAATATATATATATATATATATATATATATATATTATATATATATATATATATAATATATACGATGACAAAAACTATGTGTCCAACATAAAATTGGATAGGGAATAGTGTGGTCGCACCAAAGTTTTTTAAGCGGCACGTCAATTACCTAGGGATCCATGATATATATAAAAAGGTTTTTATATTAATAAATGTGTGCTAACAAAGTTTGGTGACATAGAACTTAAAGTTGATAGAGTCATGACTGCTCTGACTCATGCATCTCATCTCTAATATGATATATACTATATATATAATATATTATATAATATATTATAAATTATATATATAAGCGCCTGCATGATATTTACACCCGTGTCAAAGTCATGACAATCATGTACAAGTTAGAGCATGACAGTCCTGTCTGCATCTAGCATCTACAAATCATAGCTTATTTATAGAGGTCTTACAAAAGTAATGATGCCTGTAACTTTCTACACTTATTTCTATATTACAATTCAGGTCATGCTGTTATAAAACTTGTTATCCCCCTTTCTATAACATTTTCTTAAGCCACTAGTTCTGCTAAATATAAATAAAAACCATCTGTTGCAGGTTCCATAAGTTTCATTAGTGAGCTACTTGTTTGGTGCACTTGGTTTCATAAATGGCCTACGAGTTAAGTGAGCTGAAAAGTAAATTCCTCAACTTGATGTTTCTATTTTTGCATATTAGATGTTTATACAAAGCTAGTCTTTATCTTCTTTAATTAAGGGCCATTTTGAGCTTTTTTATCTTTCAGTTTCTAGTAACCGTATCTGTTAACGAAAGATTTACTTTCCCCATTTGCTCTATCTTAATTTCTATAAATTTTGTATTTTTAATTAATTGTTTTAGCTTTTGACAAACTGCTATTTGCTGGGGGAATTATTTAAAATCACTAAAGACATGGTAGTAGTTTATAAGAAGTAAGTTATTTAAATTTGTGCTTGCTATCCTAACATAAATATTTTATTAAAATTTTAAATTAAGTCTCACTAAAGACATGGTAAAAAAAGAAGAAGAAGTAAGTTAATTAAATTTGTGCTTGCTATCCTAAAATAAAGGTTTTATTAAAATTTTAAATTATGTCCCCTGAGGTAGACAAATTTACTCACATGAATTACTTTAAAATGGTTATTTAAATTATATGTCTGCTTTGCTAATGTGTGCAAACTTAAAGGAACTACACCAAGATTATCTAGCTGGCTGGATTTTATAATCCTCTACAGGCTCCTCGTATTTCATTCAGCTTTTTTTTCATGCGTAGTTGTGCAACGTTTTGTCTTTTTTTTTGTTTTTTTGTTGTGAGAGACTTAATTGCATATATAGTGCAATCTGTTTCCTTACCTTGCAATCTTATTAACAGGCCTATCCTGAATTATTTGGATTCATCAGATTTTTTAGACAAAGCATTTGATGACTACATAGGAAATCAATCCACTAAGAAGATTACATCTCATATCTGTAGATTTATTTGACTTTTTGCAGAAAATGGTACAGGTTTGAAAAAAAATAAACAGAAAAGATAGACAATCAAACATACTTACAGATTCAACTGTAGTTGAATTCATCCATCTAACTAATAAAAGATCCCAATCCACCAGAGAAAATCCCTGCTTCTTCATGGGGGAACAATGTAAGGCCTGTATGAATTATGATCCATAAATTATCTAATATCAGAAATGCAGTAAAAATAGTTGCTAATTCTCCTGGAATGATAATTGCACTTCTGTTTCTTTTCTGCAAAACCACATTCTGTTTTCCTCTTCTTTTGAGTCACTAGCGCAAGTTGTAACTGGAGTGAAGGAAAATATGAAGACTAAGAAGAGGACCTGTCCAAACATCTGACCTTGTGAATGTATGATAATGAAGACTCTTGTGTGTATTTAATCTGATTGCTTGACGTAAATAACATACACACTGCAGTTTGTAAATAATGTACAAACTGCAGTTTGTTCTTGCTCATTCTTCATCTCTTCCATGGGTTTCCAATTTCACTCACACCCGCACCAGGAAAACACTACCAAAGATATAAGCTTCTTGATTCCATTCATATTGTTAAGTCAATTTAGGAATGTCACAGAGTTAGTTATATTCTCTTGGAGTACTAAATCATTAAGGTCCATGTAGGTTCTATGTTCTAAATATGGTGGAACATATTTGGTGATGGATGTGCTGGTCGATAGAAACAACCTATAGGGATCATCTGTGACCTTCAGTTAGTTTTCTTCTTGCACATATGGAAGGTAGTAAGAAGATGTGCCGTTTGCTAGTTTATGCCCATCAAAGTATCAAGCTGTCATGTGTCTCATATATATGAAATATGTAATCTTTGTGCATGTCAGAAGTTTTAATAAATCTCATGTCTATCAGATAACAGCGATATATTTGATGATTGTATGATTAAAAGCCAAGGTTACCTTGACCTCATTTTTATATCTTTAATAGATGTAGTGTATGGGTATGTAGTCTGGAAAAAGTGATCTCCTTTTTGTCTCAAGAATACCTATACCAAAAAATCTTTCTTTATGATATCATCTTGCTTATTGTGTGACATGTCAACCTGCATAAATGTGTCGATAAATATATGTTCACTCAAAAATTACAACAAGCAGAGGGTTGTTTCTTATGGTTTTCCTTCCTATCATTTGTTAATTATACTCAGAATACATTTCTTCTAGGTTTTTCTATTCGAAATTGTAGCACTGACCTGATATTATTGAATTTGAAACTGTAGAGGTTGGAATAGGACTATTGGGCTGCAGCATCTTTTTCACATTTCTGGGCGTTGTTCTCTTCTTTGACAGGGGCTTGTTGGCTCTAGGCAATGTAAAATATCATGTCTTCCTTTGGTTCTTTATACTCTTGCGAATGAAGGTAACTAATGTTAAATCTAATATCATCTATTTATTTGTAGATATTTTTCTTGTCTGGGGTGGCCTTCTTACTTGGTTGGCAATCTATGTGGCGATTATTCACAAATAGATCAAACTACAAGGTATTTTGAGTTTATTTTCATTTATCTGTTTCTTTTTTTCATTTTATATGCTCTTTCCATTATTTACATTGATTCATTATAGCCTTTCCCATGTGATATCATGCAGGTCCGTGAGGGATTTATTTCTTATTTTAAAATCTGTGGGTCAGCTCAGGCCTTATTTTTATTTAACTTTTAACAGAGAATGAAATGTTGTTCATTTTGATTCTGTGGCTTATAGTTCTCTAAGGCAATTAGTTCTAGAAAATCAAGTCATCTCCCAGTTTACTCTCAATTGAAGATTCTTTCTTGTTTCATTAAGCTAATATTTAATTGTACTTGTGCACAAACCTTACTCCCGAAAAGAGGTCATTTAAGTGATAGGATTGTTGGCGACAAAGAGGCCAGCTAGTTTATAAATGTGGCGACATCTCTAGAGTTTGAGGTCTATTTCAGTCAATGTCTACCCGGAGTCATCTTGACGCAAAGCTAGAAGAAGAGTTCAAGAGTCCATTACAACTATGTGAGAAAATGCTTGGATAATGTGATAATTTTTATGATCTTTTATGGGAGGTCCTATCAATTTTTAGGAACATGGTTTTTTCCCTTCCTTTTTGTTTGTTCTTGTGATGGTGTTGGTGTGACATGTATTGGGAAAGTATTTGAGCTTCAAATATTGATCAACAAAGCGTCCTAGCTCAGTAAGTGAGGAAAGAGGGACGTTATTATGTTTGTGGTATATGATTTGATATTAATCCGTCATGTTGCGTAGGCATTCTGACTAGTAATTCTAGCGCGCTATGTAGTCTACTTTTGGCGGATAAGCAAGTTTGTACCAGTGTAGAAAATAGCGCGTTTCGTAGCGCAAAATAGCGCTTAACGTAACGTAGCGTTAACCTAACGCTACATAGCGTTTTCAAATAGCGCACGGACAAAATAATGTGCGCTATTTTAGCCATAGCGTAAGCTACGTAACGTAGCGTCGTGGCGTTTTGTAACGTAGGTTATTTTGTTTAATAGCTTGGATTGCTTTTAAAATAATTCAACGGCTGTGATTGACTCTCCCACTTCTCATAAGTTATTAAATTCTAACAAAACCCTAACTCTTGCTGTCATCGTCGTCTCCCGCCGCCCCTTTCGACATCGTCGTCCTCTCCCGCCATTCAACTTCTGAAATTAGCAAGGTAAATACATAATACAATCTTGAATACTGATAATCAGACTATGTTTCACACTTAAAGCCATAAAAATTAATATGTGTGGAAGGGTGAGCTTGACTTGTTCCCTGAAGTTGCCATTGTTTTACTCTTTAACATGATTAGCGTGAGAAATTTGATCTATTTGGCTGGAACACACGATGTTAGGTTTCGGTTAGTTATTGATCTATCGTCGAATTTCGCCTTTGGATTGATCGTTAAGGCAAACACGGTTGATTTTGTTGTGAAATTGTGATCATATATTGATTTGTGAAATTAAGAATTGCGATGATTATTCATATTTTTTATTTTGAATGTTATATATCTATAAATTATTTAAATAATAATAAATTATTTAACCTACGTTACGCTATGCGTTATCGCTATTGTAACCTAACCGGAGGTAAGCGTTACGCTATGCGTTATCGCTATTTTCAACATTGGTTTGTACTTTGGTTTTAGTTGGTTTGAAGATTTCTTCTTCTTGTGTTATGCCTGCCTTTTCCCTGGATGGTTTCATAGTTCCAGATGAGTCAGTGCCAGATGACTGAATATTTGGGTCAATCTAGAGAGGGTGAACATGTCTACATCTTCCTATGGTTTTCCTTCAGAATGGTGTATGAAGATGAAACTATCTTTTCCTAGTTGTATAGCATGAATATGGATACTGAGATAACGGGATATATGAGAGTAAAATTTTGTATTATATTGGGAGATAGACATTATATGTTTTGAACCTTGTGCTAATGGAAGAAGTTAATGAAGAAGCTAAGTTTATTCCAGGGAAATATGCTAATAGGAGTTCTTGCTAAACAAGTTGAAGTATATAAGGTGCAAGTACTCCTATTAGGTGGGTGGAGAAGTATATAGATTAGCTTAAACCTCTGAAAGCTAATTTCAGGTCTTTATGAAATAACGTTAAGCTTATGAATCAGCTTCAGTCAAATTAATCTAAGTTAATAGCCTCTTCAAATATCATACATCAGGTGGTATAGTTGAAGGAAAAATATGAAACTCTGACTTTAAGAGAGAAGGGACTAGTAAGCCATGGCATGGAGAGGGATTGAGGAGACATCTGTTCTTATGCAAAAAATGTAGTACAAAAAAGTGCAAACCTCAGCTCAAATAACTTAGGTTTCATGTATTAGAGCTTTGCCTATGGTCTTCGCAACAGACGGCCTTTATAAGTTTGGAAACACACAAGCTCAAGCCGCTCATCAACCTATTGAAAAACATTACTTCATTAAACTTGGCATCCGCACCAGTTTTTATATGCTGACACATCAGAAGCATAAGCTTTACGTTGAATTTGGTTGTCAGAACAAACACTGCACAATTTTACTTGCCCATGGCTAAGTGTGGTGCCTTTATTTATAGTTTATACTCATACAACTCTGGTATTTAGAAATAACCTGTTTCCAATATTCTTCTTGTTAATGTCATACTGCGAGTGCAATGATTTGTTCCCTGTGGGCTTGGAAATTACCATACTTAATACTGTTGCAGGGTTCTCTACCTTTTTTTGCTGGACTCTTTCTCATATTTGTTCGTTGGCCCATAGCTGGCATCATCTTACAAGTGTATGGTTCAATTGTTCTTTTCAGGTTAGTTCTTACTCTTGGAAACCTTAGCTCAGTTATTTATCTGCATGTTGTTAACTTGTGCTGCTTCAATTTCATCTCTTGCAGTGGGTTTTGGCCATCAGCTAAGGTTTTTCTTTATCAGATTCCAGGAATAGGATGGTTATGGTATGTATGGTGCTTATGATTTGCTTTCTTTCAATTGTATGTCAATTAGTATAATTCATCCTATTTTCTGCTTCATCTTTTCTATTAATTTGGATATATTCTCAATTTTAAACTCTTGTGCAGTTCTTGGTTCGTTTAAGGGAGTTATCCAGTTGAAGATTTATTTGTAAGTAAATTTAATTCATATATATGTATTTCATAGTTGATGAAATGACCATCTATTTTCATGTACAAATTGTTGATTCATTGACTTCTCAGTTTCTGATTATGTATGTTAAAGCCATGTTATACTTACTGTAGACGTGTTTTTTATCCTTTGGCTAGGCAGGATCTTTATGGGAATGGCTACGCTATATTTTATACTACCTTACTACATCATCAATTATCCCCTGTTATATTTTTTGTGGGATGCACTTGACATTTTATGTGTGTACACACACAGCAGGCAATCACACAGAGGGAGGGAAGGGTTCACCTGGAAATACCATATTGCGTGTCCATTTTCACAATCCATTCCATTGAAGTTAGTACTTAGAGGAAACCAAAAGGACAAATTTTCAATTTCGACCTATTTAGAAACTTTATCGTAAAAAACGACCCATTTTCAATTTAATTACCAAAACCGACCCAGTTTCAGCCATCGGTTTTGACGAATTTTTTTTCGAAACTTCATGGGACATCAAGTCCCGAGAAGTTTAAGCCCCCAATCACCAATTTGATTAGGCGCGACCAATCCCGTGAAGTTTGTACATCGCATCCCAAATGAAGATGAAAGAGAATTCAGCGGGATACTAAGTGTAAGCCGAGGCAATCTGATCAAATGAAAGAGAAGAAAACGCTCCAGTAAGCCAATTTAGGTCTAGGGTTTCATTCTGCTCATCCTCTTCTTCAGTGTCTGATCCCCAATGGGGTATTTGCTTGGATTGAGGGAGTGAAGGTAATGAGGGATTCCACTTCTTCTTCTTCTTCTTCTTATTCCCGCCTCCATTATTCGATTCCGAGGGTTTCATCGTCGAAGTGAGGATTCCGGCGGCCTTGAAGGGATCACGGCCGGCCAAGCTAGGGTTAGGGTTTTGCTCCGGCGCTCATCGACGCCGTCGGCGTCGGATCCGAGATGGACTGGCTTGTCGATGGAGAGGGAGGGGAATTGCGGCTGAGTGGGGGAAGGGAACGAGGGCTTTTGCTTCTTTTTTGCTTTACTCTTGTTGGATTTGGAGGGTTTCATCGCTGATTCTGGAGGAGGTGACGATTTGGGGACCGTTGAAATAATTGAGACTGTGTAACTTCATGAAGTGTGCGGGTACAAAACTTGGACTTCAAGTCAAGTGAAGTTTTGGGCACCCCTAATCAAGCTAATTATCGGAGCTTAAACTTCATGGGACTTGAAGTCCCGTGAAGTTTCGTAAAATTTTTCTTCAAAATCGACCTAGTTTCAGCCAGTTGGCTGATACTGGGTCGATTTTGACAATTAAATTGGAAATGGATCGTTTTTGACAATTAAATTTTTAAATGGGTCCAATTTGAAAATTTGTCCAAACCAAAAAATGAAGTGTGTTAATTTTTTCTGCCATGCATAAATCAAACAGAAATTTGATGGTTAAATGATAGTTTGCTTATACGTACACTTCAGGACATAGCAATTTTTTGGTCGGATGTTTCCTTCAACATTTATTACACGACATCGACCTCAATCTGTCATTTGGATGATGTTTGGATTTTTATTGCAGGAAATGCTTCTCCCAATCCAATTCCAGCGTCTGGTCAGTTACAAAACTTGTGGTATATATTTTGTTACAAAAGTGCATTCCCATTGCAAATTAAGTGTTTGTTGTGTTGCATTTGCAAAATGATTGACATTTTTTGAGTTGGATCATCTGATTTGATGACGTGGCACAATCTTTTAGTTGTTCTATTTAACACAAGGACTTGCAACAGTTGTTGCAGCCAAATTGGCCGCAGCAAATATTGCAATTTTTTCTATAAAATGTTAATCTGATTATTTTTGCCAACTAACTTGTTGCTTACACCTCTTTGGTTGTCAAGGAAAGCAAGATTATATGAAATTGATTTCCTATAATCATTTCCCTTCTTTTGTTTGGTTGAGGGAAAAAAGAAACGAAAAAAAAATGTGCATGTGAGACCTACTTCTAGAAATGTTAATAGTGCATCTAGCCCCAAAAAGAACGAAACCCATTCCTTGAAAAATATGTCAGAAATAGGCTTTGAAAAGGGAAAATGGGTCATTTTCCAGAATTATAATTCAAGGAATGTAACCAAACAGGCCCTCACCAAATTACTACAGCATTTGCGGGTGCAGCTCTATTTCCTGTCAACTAAACAACTCCTAATAAGGTGTATTTTTCACGTGAGTTGCTATACATGTGTGTGTAGCAAAGTTTTGGCTCAAAATNTCTATACTCATCACCAAAACCCAGTTGATCCTCTCGTGAGCCCTAATCTTTTCCAGCCCTAATCAAGAGAAAAAATTCAACCATATTTGCCTTCTTCTCTCCTTCTCTCTACCCCTAGCGGTAAAACCTATATCAATGCTTGTTTAGGTGCTAAATTGTCAAAGAAATATTGCTCAGAAACAGTACGAACGAATGTCACTCAGTGCTAGTTTAGGTGCTAAAATTTCCTCAAACTTGTCACTATGTTTCTTCTAAACAATCTGGGACATGAAATGCTTTAAAATATTCATCCATAGCAACACATAGACCTTATTGTATTGGATTTTTAGCATGATAATCTGATCCAACCTAAACTGACTGATTATGCCTGATATTGGTTGATAGCAACTAATACAGACTGGCTATAACAAGTCAAAGACTAGGAGATATTAAGTTTGAACTACCAAGTTGATCTGGTAGAGTTATATTGGGATAAAAAAGAAATCACTATATGGAGGAATGGGTAAAGTTATTCTTTAACTATGAACAATTCTGTTTCAAAACTGCCAAAACTGCTGAAACTTGCAAAAACCGTTCCCTTTTCTCTTTGCTTTGAGTTACAGTTATTTTTTGTAACAATTCCAACAAAAAAACAATCATCATTTGCCTCTACACTGAAAATTCAACATGGAGGCAAGAGTGGGCAGTGGCTTGGTTGTCTCCATTCCTGACCATATGTGCACATTTTCAGTGTACTCTCCTTCTTTTCTTTCCATTCTGAGAATCCTTTTCTTTTTTCTCCCCAGTTCTTGATTTCAAGATCTTGCATAGTTAAAGCTGCTTTCACATGCATTCTCTGATTCAACCGACATATCATCAATGTCATAGAAAATAAACCAATGGCCTACCAGAAAATAAACTGTATTTGTAGCTCTTAATTCTTATTACCAAGTCCATGGGTTTTTAATTAAGCTACTGAATTACTTTTTAGTGTTTTTTCTCGATGTTAGTCCTTTAATCTTTTATATTTTAAAAATAGTCCCTCAGATCATTGAAAATGCTATTAGGCCCCCCTATTCTGAAATTAGTTCCTGCAGTTAAGAGTAAAGGTAGCAATTAGAGGGGCGAATTTGAAACAACTTATGAGAATTGGGGAGGTAATAGCAATTTCAAATATTTAAGGGACTAAACCCTTTTTTGTATAGAGATATTGTTGCTCTAATGGTCATTTCATCCTTTAGATTCCTATCTGTTCTCAACCTTTTAGACAGTCTTTTGGTTGACAAAACAAGTTGAGGCATTGCACAACTAGTACATGAATCTTTTTACTATAAATGGGGGAGTTGCCTTGACTTCCTAACCAAAATCTCATCCATTTATTTCGCAACTCCTTTCATTTTTTGCCTTGCCCACTCTTTTAACTCCATTAAAGTACAGTTGCTGTAAATGTGCATGAAACTTACTGCACTAGTTAAAAACCATTTATTTTATACTGACACCCTCAACCTACCTTTCAACTTAACTACCTTATTCATTCCATTTCTGACATGAAAATTTCTTGAGATGATCATTCAAGTCTTGGATGACAATGGAGACCATTACTATTACTGTGGCAGAGGTATAAGTAGCAAGTTGTCCTTAAATGTAGCAAGGACAATGGCAGGCTGTGACAAGTGAGTTCAGCTAACTCTTCTGGCCAATTATTACATCCTTTTAAAGGTAGCTAGCTTCAGCAAGTTAGTAGAAAAGGATCATTTGGGAAAGGGTTAATTGATAGAACCCCTGTACTATTGCCAATTGCGGATATACCCCTAAGTGATTTTTTGACTCTTTTACCTTTGAGAGGTATATATGTCAAAGAATAATTCTCTCTTTGAAGAAGAGTAAAAAAAAGGTTCACTCAGGGGGTCTATTTGCAACAATGTAACTATATAGGGTCTATCCGCAGTTGGGCGATAGCAAAGGTGGTTTAACCACAATTAACCCTTTGGGAAATTAGTATAGGGTGCCCTCGTCTTTCTCACAACGAGTGAAGTGAATACATGCTGCATTTAAAAGGCCATTTCTACGTATATGAAAAGCTTGAATTCAGCTGCACTAGTGAGGGAAAATGGGGAAAAGAACGAAAGTGGAACTCAGGGATTTTAATGCAGCAGATACTATGTAGAGAAAAACAGCAGGTTAAGGGTATCAATGCACCTTTCAGCTTTTGGTAGCTAAGGCGTTTTTATGATGCTCATGAGGAGTGAAGATAAGCTAGCTACATCCTGACATTCAATTACCTTAAATGAGATGGCTTCATAGTACAGTATCCATTATGGAGACATCTTTCTTCATGTTTTTATGTTTATGGATGAGGAGATAGTATCTACTGGTCCTGGTCTATTGTATTAAGGGTTAGTGGATAGGCCGCCTGTTCTATAGCTCATTTACGATTAGAGCCCATGTAGTTCTGTTGTTGCAGACCTCCTAAATGAAATTATTTTTGACTCTTTTACCCCAATAGAAAGAGAAATTTGTTTCTTGACAAATAAACCTCCTGCTGGGAAAAGAGTGAAAAATAAAAATAAATAAATAAAGAAATAAATCATTCTGGGGGCTATCTGCAATAATCTGCAGGGGGTCTATCCGCTATTAACTCTTGAACTAATGGTGCACCAAATGTATGTCAACAATTGGATTATTGACGTAGGGATCTGTTTGCAAGTCCTATAGTTAATATCTCGTTGATGCATCATTAATGCAATGGATCAGGACCACAATTGGACGATTGACATAGAGATCTATATGCTAGTCCTACCCTTAATATCTCATTGATACATCATTAATGCAATAGATTAGGACCACTGGATATTCCTCATGGATGTGCGGGTCACTAAGTTGAGCATCGGAAAAAAAGTTTCATTATATTCTTTTTTGTATGCATGTGCATTTGAAGTGAATGTCTATGTTATGTTTTTATCTTAAATAATTGCAATATTTACCTCCCTTTGTAGGAAAGAATGAAATGGAACTACAGTTTTTGTTTCCTTTATGGAGTTTTTATTTATTTACTCATACTTGGCTTTTTCTATTTTGCCGACAATAGCCTAAATCTTATTTTCTTTACTGATTTTGCAGCTGTTGAAAGTGGATAATGCTCTTGAATTGCTCAAAGAAGACATTGGTGGGGTCTAGAGTTGCCTAGCATGCTGATAAGCTTCCGTTTGTTCTTTCAATGTTTCTTCAAATGTAATTTAGATTTCTAACCTCCATGAGTATCTTCCATGAAAATTTCAATGTAGTTCTAAGTGGATGCTCTAATGTTTTGTTAACAAGTGTTTAAGCACTATTATCGAGTGTATTTAGTAAGCAGGAAACTTGTAAAATGAAATTGTGCAGTGAACCATTAAACTTATGTAAGTTTTATCAATTGTTCGCGTGAAGGGGTTATTACCACAACAAAGCCTATTCTCCAAATAAAATTGCAATACATCTAGAAAAAAGATTTTTTTTCAGTATTAGTATGAATCGGATACGTTACTCACCGCGGAGCATGTTTACAAACAATCCAAATTGATTGCCTACCTCCTTAGGGTCACTCTCTATTAATTGATAATTTGTTTATGATTTGAGTTCTAAGGAGCTAACTTCCTTTCAGTCATTACCAGCAAAATTGACCTGCATGATGTCGTGATATTAACGTGAAAAAAATAGTTCAAATATTCGGTTTAAATATAATCGTATATGTAACCACATGTTAGTAAAAATATGACAAGTTACAATAAAATATAATTACTTACATTGCATATCAAACTGTTGAGGCACAGTTATTTTTATTAATATCATGGAGCAGTTTTAGTCTAGGCAAGATTCTGAAAGTGAGTGGGTTACTTTTTCATAGACGGATACTCTTTTTGTTTTTAAATGCATGAGTTTAAAGAGTCATGAGTTTATTAATTCGAATGTTATTTCAACTCTTCTATTATTAGAATCTGATTATGTAGTAGATTTTGGAATCAGTCAAATATTTGTTTAAACGTTTGGGTAGACGGGTTAAAAGAAAGGGAGAGATTTTTTTTTCTTACTTTTGGTGAGAATATGAACAATATTCGATTTTATTTATGTTTTTGAATAAAAGTAGTTGGTTTCTAGTCGGCTAAATACCCATATGAGTATTTTAATTCTACTCCATTTATCAAGAAGGCATTTTAATTAGGCAAACCTGCTTTAAGACATTTTAATTGATTCAACTTACCAACAAGGTCATTTCTCTCGTCCGCGACCAGTTTTTCGGCGAGAGCTTGTCACGTGCGTGGCACGTGATGACTTAAACTATTTTTTAGTTGCTGATATGGCACGGATTTTCTGACGTGGCAGTGTTTAAAGACGAGAATTAACCCTCTAAAAATCCTAATTCACCCAAAATAGGACAGATCCGTACCACATCAGCAGCTAAAAAATAGTTTAAGTCATCACGTGCCACGCACGTGACGAGCTCTCGCCGGAAAACTGGTCGCTGACGAGAAAAATGGACTTGTTAGTAAGTTGAACCAATTAAAATGTCTTAAAGCAGGTTTGCCTAATTAAAATATCTTATTGGTAAATGAGGTGGAATTAAAATAACAATATGGGTTTTTAGCCGTTTTTAGTCTTACAAAATTCGCTGTTGTTAAAATTTTGAACGAGATCCATATTATTCAACATTATGGAGAAGGTGATGTTAAATTTGAATACCGTTAAATTTGGTTGGGATTCTGGTTTGAAAACGAAAAAAAGATTGACGAAGAAGATGGAAGAAGATAAAAAGTTTTTAATTTATCTCTAAAATTATTTCTTTTTCTTTTTCTATGATTGTCCAGTTTTGCGACATGCCAACTCAGATTTTGGGACATGCCAACTGAGATGACTATTTAAAGGTCTTATAATTTAGGTCCAAAAATAGTTATTCATGTTAGAAATTGGTTGCTGTTTAGATTGTAATCAATACGAAAAAGAATTAGTTTTGAACAGATATAAAAAATTTCAGATAATGACGGGTTAATATTATAACACAGAAATGAAATTGATTCAAAAGTAAATAAATAAAGTTTAGAAATACGGTCTGATGATCGAAGCGTGTAAGGCATTGTCCCAAGAATCTAATTGCCCCTTCTCGTACAAGGCTACACGGCAATGAATTCCGGAGATACTACGACCCTCAGTTAGGCGATCTCCTTCTCGTCGGCACGAGCTTCAAGAAGGCTTTGTGAATTCTTCGTAAACTTTCAGGGAATCAGTGAAAATGTAACAGCAAGAAGAGATTTTTGAAAAGAAGAGAAAAGAGAAGCTCAGTTTTCAATCCGTGTCTTTAGCCCTCGCATGTATGATTTTTTTTATAGAGGTTAAGGATAGCCGTTTTTAATTACTGTTTTTAATTATCATTTTAATTCTCCTGAAAATCCGCTTTCGTTTTAATTATGGTTTTAATGCTCCTAAAAGATAGCTGTTTCAATTTCCCATTTTAATTCTCCTAGCCGTTTTAATTATCCTGAAGATAAGATCCACATTAATCACTTTTTTAACCTGCACCATATTAATCACGTTTTAATTGTTCTGATTTGCAAAAAACAAAAAATCTCAAATGTAGCAGGTTAAGGTGCCTCTCAATCTGGAGCTGCATTCGTGTCCGCAGGTCGTGAGCGCGTGCCTTCCGACCCGAACCCGGCTGGTTCGGGTCGGCGCGCGTGTGTAGTGTGGAGCATAACCCATGTTTTCTTCTAGGCATAGAGGAGAGAAAGTAAAGGCTTATAAACAACCATCATTCTCATCTCCTATCTAATGTGAGACTAAACTTCCCCACTCCAAAATCAAGTTTTAAGTTATTAACTCTAACAATTCAAAAGGAAGATAGCGAGAAAAATGTAGATTGCTTGTAAAGATAGTCATAAATGAAAATTCATCTTTATAAGTTACAAGCATTTTTAAGTGAATTTTTTACTAGTCCAAGAGGCTTTAATACAAGAAAAGTCAAAGTGATCATACTTAGGATAGAAACTAGAGAGGGAAAGCATTTTCGTCTTGTGTTTGGCAGCTCCAATAATTTTAATGGATACAAGCGTGATCCAATAAGTTTTTTCTAGTTTTTAGTAGAAAAAAACTGAGAGCAATCTTGAACTAGTTTTTTAGTAGTTCAAATTCTAGGACCTAAACCAGTTATCTTTTAGACTAATTCTTATAGGCCCCGTTTGACAAATGGTTAATGAAGAGGGATTAAAGAGAATGATTAATGTACTTAGCCCGTTTGATAATCCGAAGGACTAAATATTAACCTGTTAAATAAGTTTTATTTTAGCCCTTATGATCAGTTTTAGTGTTTGGGAATAGCAATGATTTTGACTATTTTCTTTATAATTAGAAGAGTTAACTCTTATTCCATCTAAATAGGAGTATGAGTAAATCCCTCATTTTGAGGGGTTAACTCATTTTAACCCCTCTAGAGGGGTTAACTTAACCCTTCTATATTTTTTATGTTTGGCAAATTATGGAGGGTTAACTCACTTTAAACCTTATATAGATTTGTTGTGTTTGACAGATTAAGAAAGGGTTAAGTCTCCTTAACCCCTTTCTTAACCCTTTGCCAAACGGTACGTATGGATTAATTTTAACCTAATTAAGCAAGACCAATCCAATTTTGGATTTACTAAATACGCCCTTAATAAGGGGGGACAAACAAGGTTAGAAATATAAAAATGAAGAAACAGTTGGCATGGAAATTTACCCCTGTACTATGACAAAAATAAAGTTGCTTATAGCATGTTTCCGTGTTGTTACCTACACCAAAACTTCCACCATGCTTACATGCATAGCACGTACACGTTTTCCAATGTCACCCCAATAAATATCATTCTTTTGCTAATAAATATTGAGTAAGTTTGAAATAAATGCATATTGTCAGTTCTGTACAAGGTTAATTTAATTTGTGGAAGGTAAATGTATTTTGTGAAAGACTTATTTGGTTTATAATATTAATTTAAGACTTTTCCGTATGTACCCTCTATAAAACTTCACTTATTTATTTGTTGAAAAATACTAGTTGCAGGTGTACCTTGCACTTTATACCAAATAAAGTATTTTCAATGAATGAAACAAAATCCCTAAGTGTAAATATCAGAAAACCCTCTTTTAACTTTGGACAATTATTAACAAATTATTCTTAACTTTCAAAATATCAGAACCCCCTTGAGTCTTGGGAGCACCTAGCAGAGCAAAAAATGTCTAGGTCTAGGTAAAATGTACTGTTTAGATCTTGTTCATGATTTCCTCCATTGCTACCTTCATGGTCTCTAGCATCGTCTGAGATATTCTTGCTACATCCACTAACTACAAACACCTCCTCCAACTTGATCTTTAGCAAAATCTCCTGGAAAGAAATCCTCTTAGGTTAAAAAAGAAATCATCCTAGACTTAAATGAAATCCCCTTAGGCCTAACCTACCATCTAGGTGCTAGACGTCCGTTTGGCACATAGGGATGACTAGTACTTTTGATAATATTGATTGTAATTAAAAAAAAATCCTAGGCCCCGCCTAGGCTCTCGCCTAGACAGCTAGGGTCAGCTGCCTAGTGCTTTATATAACATTGGTCATAAGCAAGAACTAGTTTTAGGTGGTGTTTGGTTGCACATTTTTATAGAAAAATTTACTCAAAATGTCTGACAATGGTAATTCTGTAATTAAAAATTTTATGTAGATTTTCGTAAATTGTGTTTGGTTCAAAAAAATTACAGAAATGTTTTTTATAAACTTAAAAATTTACCAAAATTTACAGAAATCAATTTTATGTAGATTTTCAATGAATGAAACAAAAGCTTTTAAGTGTAAATATCAGAAAACCCTCTTTAACTTTGGATAATTATTAACAAATTATTCTTAACTTTCAAAATATCAGAACCCCCTTAAGTCTTGGGAGCACCTAGCAGAGTAAAAACTGCCTAGGTCTTGGAAAGCATGTAGTAGAGCGAAGACCCGATGTCAAATGGGTGGTTTTGGTTGGGTCTTGGTTGGATCATAAATGGGTGGGCACATTTATGACCACTTAACCATTTATCACCCATTTAGCATTTGCTAAATGGGTCAGTTCTCAACCACCCATTTACTAAATGGGTGGTTCATAGGTGACCAAATAACCCATTTAGTTATGATTATGATGCTTCTATATATATGTAAGTTTTAGGGATCTACTTGCAAACTTTTAGGGTTTTTTGGCAAACATTTAGGGGGGTTTTCTACAAATTTTCAGGGGGTTTTCTGCAAACTTTTAGGGGGGTTTTTGCAAACTTCCAGGGGATTTTTTGCAAACTTTTAGGAGGTTTTCTATAAACTTTCTGGGGGGTTTCTGCAAACTTTCAGGGGGTTTCTGTAAACTTTTAGGGGGGTTTCTGTAAATTTTTAGGGGTTTTTCTACAAACTTTCAGGGGGTTTTCTAT